GTGTGTGTGAGTGTGTGTGTGAGTGTGTGTGTGTGTGTGAGTGTGTGTGTGTGAGTGTGTGTGTGTGAGTGTGAGTCTGTTCCATGGGAATCCCTCGGCATCAATGTGTCATTGCAGCTTTTGGGCTTCTGAGGTCCCGTCCTGCTGGGCCCTGGTGTGGCTTGCCCACGCCTGGGACTGAACTTCAGACTTCAGGTGGCTGGACGTGCTGGCTCCTCTCCATGGGTGCTGCGTGACACTGGTGTCTGGGGCAGTCTGCTGTCCTYGGGTCTCTGCTGGTCTCCTGTGTCGGCTGCTGCTCTTTGGTCACCGTGCCTCTCCTGTTTGGTTATTTCAGTGTGCTGTGAGCACTCCACTTCACGCTGCCCGAGCTGCATGCTGAGTGCTTGGGTGTTCTGGAGTCTGTGTCCGGCCGGCCTTCTCGGCTTCTTGGCATGGTCGTCCACCATTTCAAGGAAATGTGTATGTGGGCCCCGCCAGGACCCAGCTCCTTCCCATCTGTGCCGTGGGGCCTAGGCTGGTGCCAAGACCCACATCCCGCCATGTGCACTCTGCGCCCCACGGCACTGGCTTTTCCCGTGGAGCTGCTTTCCTGCTGGAGGGTTTCTGCCCAGCTCTCGGCTGTATGGCTCCTGCACTGCCCGCCTTCCTCGAAGCCCTTGACGCCCGGGAGGCCCTGGTTCGCCCTTCCCCAGCACCTGGGCCCCAGCTGCATGCGTGGCTCTGACAAGAACCTGCCGTGCTCCCTGCCATGGACTTCCTTTATGCTGATTTTCTTTCTGGATACTTTCAAGATGTTTTCCTTATAGTTTATTTCTAGTTTAATTTGGATCTAAGTGAAGCTTGCTTTTAATTCATCATATTTGTGATTCACTAAGTGCTTTTAATCTGACCTTTTTGTCTTTAACCAAGTTTAAGGAATCATCTTTCATATTTTTCCAAACGTTTTCCTTCTGGTGCAAATGTGACAAAAAGGTGTCTGCCTGCAAAGAGGACGAGTCTCACCTGGTTGAGCCCAGGGCTGGGCTGGTCCCCCTGAGGCCACTGTGCCCCTTCCAGGTGGCCCTACTGCGGTCCTCCACGATGAGGAAGAAGGAAGTTCTCAGACGTGTCCAGGGAAATCCGGAAGGTGCATGGCAGCCACGGAGAAGCTGGCTTTGTTCTGGCGTCTGTGGAGCGAGCAGGGGGCTGGGAGGGCAGGGTCCTCCCAGGAGCAGGCGCAGCCTTGGCCTGCAGCTCCAGGCAGACACAGGTGTGTGTGGTCCCTAGGCTCCAAGTGGCTCTCTGGGGACGTGGGGCCCTCTTGTCTGCCCGGATGGCAGAGAAGACAGTGTGTGGTGCGAGCTCAGCACACCTGTGCAGGCTGTTTCCTGAGATCCCTGTGGGCTTGAGCTCAAGTCCTGTAGCAGCCCGCAGAGGACACCAAGGGTCACGAGCTTCGTTTTGGGTAAAGTCGTTTGCTTCCTGTAGGACCTGGCTTTTGTCTTAATGAGTGCATTTACCCTGGTTCCACGTGAAGGGTGTGCATGACCACTCAGCGAGCGGCTCCGCCTGGCCTGCTGGGGGCAGCCCCATCTTCCCACCCTCTGGTGGTCTGCAGCCTTCTGCGCAGCGGCCGTCCTTCCTCCTCCTGCTGCAGGCACAGCTTCCTGGGCTCTCTGGGGAAACACAGCCTCACCTCTCTGGGCACCAGAGACCTGGCCTGGCCCCACCCTGGAGGTCCTCCTGGGCTGGACTCGTTTTCTCATTCTGCACTTTCTTCCTGTGTCCTCTCGTTACCTGCAACACCCTTGCGCTTCCTGAGGGTCAGCCTCTGTCTGCCCCATGTGCTTTTTATCCCAGCTCACACCTCGCCCTCTTCTCCTGGCCACTGTGGCTTCCTCGTCTTTGGAATTGAGGCTGTGCTTCGAATCCTAATTGCACGCCCAGCACTCTGGGAGAGCGCCTCTTCCTCAGTGAGTCCAGACCTTCAGGGTCTCCTGACTGGGGGTCAGTTCCTCCTGGTCCAGACCTCCATGGTCTTCATTATGAACCAACCATGAGGAGCTGACCCTCAGTCAGGAGACCCTGAAGGTCTGGACTCACTGAGGAAGAGGCTCCTGTCAGTACGGAAACGTGGGCCCTGCAGGGCCCTGCTAGGGTCCTTCCCATACTCTGCCTGCACAGAGAGGAGAGCCTGGGGCTCACTGGTCCTGAAGAAGCCAAGACCCACGAGCCAGAGGGCCCTGGCCTCTGGGCAGGACCACGGTGGGCAGTGGTTCCAGCAGCTGTGCTCGCAGCCTCAGGCCCAGAGCGAAGGTCAGGCCTGGTGGTGCTCACCTGGCGGCAGGTGACATGCTGTGCAGGTGTGAGGCCTGCAGGCCTGTTAGGGGAGTTGGCCCTGCACCAGCACTGTGTGCAGACGGTAGAGGGCAGTGTGTGCCTCCAGGTGACACATAGGCACTTCCCCTACTGGGAACTCCACTGGAGACCTACTCCAAGACCCCAGCCACTGGCAGAGTCCAGGGAAGGTCTGGCACAAGCGGCGTCCCCACGTCAGGCTGTGGAAGCAGCAGTGGCCAGGCCTCCTCCCGCTGCGGCGTGGCGTCTCTCCGTCACCACGATCTTCAGAAGGTGCTCGGTGTCTCCACTCGGCAGTGCTCTCCTCTCAGGCCCCAGCAGCATGGATGTTCCCTGTCCCTAAAGGAAGAGCCCAACGGCACCGGTGGCTGTGTGTGCCCATGATGTGATCAGTGATCCCTCGGCAAGCAGCCCTGGTGAGCACAGCTCCAGCTCCAGGCTGCCAGAGGGACACCAAGGGCAGGTGCCGGAGGGACGCGGGGGCATCTTTATCCTGCACTGGGGGATGTTAAGGTGAGTTTGGAATAGAAATCTCTTCTCCTTAACCTCAGTTGTGGACACAGACCCCTGCTCTGAACTGTTGGGGAACTGTGGGGTGTGCCAGGAGAGAGCCCACACGTGCTCTCTGGAGGCGACGTGCTTGCACACTGATCAGCTGCAGACGGCCCTCCCCTGCAGGGTATGGAGCCTGCCCCACTCCCAGCCCGCCCAGAACCCGTGTTCTTGTCTCCTAGGCTTACGTGTACAACCTGGGCTGCAGCACATTTTCCCATCGGCTGGCTGGACACACAGACACCGTCTCTGAAGTGGCCTTCAACCCGGCGGCTCCCCAGGTACACCTCCCTGTGCAACCTCTTGCCCCATGCTGCTCATATCTGCCAGACTTTATCTGGGTGAAATTTTATAATGCTTACGATCAATCTGGTTTCACTGTCTGCAGGGAGAACTTAGGAAATGCACCTTTAATGGYGAGAAAGAGAAATGCAGAGGGTGTTTTTCAATACTGACAGAATTTGTCATGTGGTGTCTCTGTGCTCCTTCCAGCTGAAATGTAGAGGGCAGGACCGTCTGAAAAATGGGTCATGTGTGGCCATCCTGAGTGCTGAAGGGAGGAAGCAGGAACTGGGACCAGGGGCACAGGGTATCAAAGATCTCAGGACCAGAATTTGTATGTAGGAAGAGGACCATGAAATTTAAAGGAACTGTCTTAATTAAGAGAAAAGGCAATAACAGTAGCAAATCAGTTGTAAAGAAAGATGGATGTCCTTGTGTTAAAACATAGAGGAGGCCCCTGTGGAGGGTAAGAATATCCATGCTGGCTCAGCCTAAGCCTGGGGACTATCGGTTCAGCCTGGTCAGGCCTGAAGCTCTGACTCAGGGAACCCGACGTGCACACCGCTCACGCTGCCCCTCACTTGCCGGGACCTGTGGCGGTCCTTCACGTGGCTCACTGCTGAAGTGCACGCCACAGTGAGGCRCAGATGAGGGCAGCCAGCCGGCTGCTGCACCATCCCAGGGCTTCCTCCACCCTAGCCTGTCTTCCCAGTCCTCTGCTGGGGGCGTTCAGGGCCCCACTTTTCTTCCTGCTACAGAGAATCCTGAGGTGTCATCGCTTTTCCTCGTAATGACTGGTGTTGCATGGACCGAGACAACTGCTTTTCTTGGGAACGTGTGGCCATTCCCCATCGCGCATCCTCGATGGGCACCTGGGCTTGTTCCAGACCCTGGCTATCGGGAGTGGTGCCTGTTCAACCCCAGGGCTGCAGACGCCCCGCGGGCGGGCTGTTTACTGCTCCAGAGAAGGAGCCCGAGGGACTCAGTGGAGAGCGGTTGGACATTGCGTCACTCACATGCTCCTTATGGTGGGCCAGGGTCCATGGGGGCCTCCCTCACTAGGCCTTCAAGCAGGGCCAGACGGGGCAGGTCACAGGCCCAGGTGCTGACGGATCCCRTCAGGTGTTTCCTGAGTTGACTTTACTTTGCAACCAAGGCTTCCCTCTGCATTTCTTTGGTCATCACAGTCTTTCTTGTCTCACTGCAGGTGTTCATGGGCACCGAGCAGTGTTGACCTCAAGGTGCCACCATGAACAGGGCCAGGTGGTGTCTCCTGTGTGCCAGCTTCATTTGTTCTGTGTACGTGCCCAGGAGCAGGATGGCCGGGACTTTCCACACTGTTTTCCACTGTACTGATTTAAATTCCCACCAGTGGTGCACAGGGTTCCTTGTTCTCCATATCCTCACAACCACTAGCTACTACTATTATTATCTGTGATAGCCACTGTGATTGGGGTCAGATGGAATCGCAGTGAGTTCTGATCTGCATTTTTCTGATGGCCAGAGATCTTGAGCATTTTGCAAATATTTATTAACCATTTTAACTTCATTTTATGAGTATCTTTTTAGCTCATTTCCCTGTTTATCAGTTTGATTACCTGTTTTTTTGATGTTAACTCCTTTGGGTTCTTTATGTATTCTGGACATTAGTCCTCTGTTAGGTGAATAGCTTGCCAGGATTTTTTTCCTGTTCTGTAGGCTGTCCTTCACTCTGTGATTGTTTCCCTTGCTGTGCAGAAGGTTTTTTAATTCTATGCAATCCCCTGTAAATTCTGGTTTTTATTTCCTGAGTATGTGGGAGTCCTATTCAGGACATTGTTGCTTATGCCAATATCTATATGTCTCCCCGATGTTTCCCTCAAGTAGTTTCAAAGTCTTTTGAACGTTTTGTTTTGAGACAGGGTCTTGCTAAGTTGTTGAGGTCCTCACTAAATTGCTGAGGCTGGCCTTGAACTTGCAATCCTTCTGCCTCAGCCTCCCAAGTCATTGGGATCACAGTTTTGCCCCATGGCACCTGACCCATTTAGACAGATTAATTCTGCCAACTTACAAACATGGGAGATCTTTCCATCTCCTGTTGTCTTTCTAGCATTCTATGATTTTCATTGTAGGGACTTTCACCTCCTTGTTAGATTTGTTCCTTGGTCATGTTTTTGGAGGCTGTAGTGAATTAGGTTGTTTTCCTGGTTTCTCAGTGAGTTCATTATTGGTATAGAAAGGTGTTATGGTTTGGATGTGAGATGTCTCCCAAAAGCTCACATGTGAGACAATGCGAGAAAGTTCAGAGGAGAAATGATTGGTTGTGAGTCTTAACCCAGTCAGTGAATTAATCCCCTGCGGGGATTAACTGAGTGGACTCTGAAGTGGTGGGTGTGGCTGGAGGAGGGGGCATTGGGGCGTGGCTATGGCTTATTTATTGTGTGTCTGGAGGCTGGACTGCCTCACTGTCTGCTTGCTGATCACCATTATGAGCTGCTCCCCCTGCCGCACTCTTCCACCATGTACAGAAGGTTTTTAATTCTATGCAATAATCAATCACGAGGTGAGGTTCTGCCTCACCTCGAGTCCTGAGGAGTGGAGCCAGCCCTCTATGGACTAAGATCTCKGAAACCGTGAGCCCTCAAATAAACTTTTCCTCTTCTACAGTTGTGCTGGTGGGTCTTTTATAACAGCAGCAACAAAGCTGACTAAAACAAAACACTACTGCTCTTTGTGTATGTAGGGCCCTGATACTTTGCTGAATTTGTTCACTGGTTCATCCCCCTCTATTACTTGGAGGTACCATCCTTCTTACCTAGTTTCTTTAGGGCACTTATCATGAAGGGGTGTTGAATTTTATCAGTCTCTTTCTGCATCTAGTAAGGTGAACAGGTGATTTCTACTGTTGTTTCTACTGACGTGCTGTGTTATCTTCAGTGGTTTTCGTATGTTTAGCGATCCTTGCACCTTGGAGTGGACCAACTTGACCATGAGCTATGCTGAGTTTCACTCGGGAACACTTTATCGAGAATGTTTGCATGTGTGTTCATCAGGGATATTGGTCTGTAGTTGCTGCTCCAGTCTAGTCTTCAGTGTGTTCTCGAAGGCGTGGGGGTGACCCTGCGGCGGCCCCTTGTTGGCAAGGTGTCCACCGTCTCTGTATTTCTTTCTGCTGTCCACATGCAGGAGCCAGAGCCTGTGTGGACAGGTCATCTGCAGGGATTTTACTTCCCGTTCTTTAGTAGAAGTGTCTGCTGACCTGAACAGGGCTGCGTCTTGGGTGGGGTAGGGCTGGGTCTTAGCTGGGTGGGCTCAGGGTGCTGGGCTTGGTCCCAGCATGGCATAGAAAGAGGAAGCTAAGCACAGTCACAATAGCAGACGGCAGCAGACCAGACACAAAGTGAAACCAGCAGGAAGAGCAGGGGCAGAAATGATAAGGAATAGGCTAAAAAGCTAAGAAAGGACACAGATAAAAGGAAAGGCAACAGAAGGTCAGGGAGAGGCCGGGGTGGACGCAACGCGGGGGAAAGGAAGGAAAATGGGGTGTTAAAAGGAGAAAAAGGAGAGAAAAGAAAAATGATTTCAAAAATGTGAGCCAAAGAGTAAATGCCAAAAACCAAAACAAAGCAGAACCCTGATGGAATGACATGCCGCAGCGGCACAGGGCCAGTCCCTGGGCTCCTGGGCACCCTGCCTGCGGCTCTGGGGACGGGCGGTGGTGGGCTGGAGCACCTGTGCCTCGGCACCTCTGGCCAGGTGGGCGCAGTTTCCAGGCGTTCCCGTGGCGCGGCGCTGGCTGGAGGCCCAGGGAAGGGCTGCAGGCTCAGGGCTGCAGGAGCCGGGGGGGGGGGGGGGGGGGGGGGGGGGGGGGGGCTGGGGAGGAGGCACCTTTCACAGACACCTCTCCCAGAGTGAGGCTCACCCTTGCTTTCACAGAGCAAAAGGTCTTAATCTGAATGAAGTCTAGCCTATCCATTCTTTCCTTTATGAGTCTTGGTCCTTTCTGTTATGTTTAAAAGTAGCCCCCAAACCCAAGGCCACCAAGGCCATCTCCTGTTTCCTCCTAGGAGAGTTCCAGTTTTGCACCCACGTGGAAGCCTGTGACCCCCCTCAGCTGACTTTGTGGAAGGGGCGAGCTCTGCTCCAGACGGCTGGGGTGTGGCGGTTTTCGCGTGTGCACCCGTGTGCTCAGCACCATTTATTGGAAGGCGCCGTCCTCCTGAGCAGCCTTTGCTGCTGGGCCGAGCCCTGCTGCTGACTGGTGTGGCCAGGCGCCTCTGGCTGCTCTGTTCTCTTGGTCGGCCCTGTCTGCCTCTCGGCCGGCAGCACCCCTCCTTGGCTGCTGCTCTTCACTCACTCTTCAGCCTGGCTTCAGCTCTCGGGGGGCTTTTGCCACTCCATGTAAACTTCAGAATCAGTTTGTCGACAGCCAGAGAATAAGGCTGGGATTTGGACTCGACTGAGTTTGGAAGAACTGATGCTGTGCATCTTTCTAGGCAGGGGCATGCAGAACCTCTTTATATATGTTTACTTTTTATGTCACTCATCAGAGGTTTGTGTTTTTTCTCATTTAGATCTTATACATATTTTCTTAGAATTATACCTAAATATTTTAATTTTTGGTGTGTCATTGGGAATGTATCATAGTTTAGATCTGAAGTTCCACTTGTTCACTGCTAATGCATAGAAGAGCACTGACTTCTGTCTATTAAACCTGGGTCCTGTAGCTGGCTATAATCACTATTATTTCCAGATTTTTAGATAGATTCTTTTGCATAGTCTATATGGATACATGTTTTATGAGCAAACACATTTTCTTTTTTTTTTCTTCCCAATCTGTATGTCTTTTATTTCCTTTTCATTTTTTATTACATTATCCAGTATTTCCAGTATGATGTTGAAAGGGATTGGTGAGAAAAGACACTGTGGCCTTGTTCCTGATCTTGGTGGGAAAGTTTCAAGCTTCTTGTCTTTAAGTTCATTGTAATCTGTAGAGTTTTTGTAGATATTCTTTATCAAG